TGGATAAAGAACAAACATGATGATATATGGTCTAAACTTCCAGACTGTGCTCATTCTAAATTGGTGCTCAGTACACTTAACTTTTCAGGTAAACTCATACACCTCAGTAGAACTAACTTACGCCAGGTAATTCAAATTGTTACTGGACATGCTTATCTAGCTAAGCATCTCCACAAATGTGGTCTTGTCGAATCTCCTCTCTGCCCAGCTTGTGGAGAAGAAGAGGAAACACCTTTTCACTTTCTGGGACGATGTCCGGTGTTCTCTGTCCCTAGAAACAAATTCCTTGGGTTTCCCTATATTACCTTTGATCAAGCCCTTTTATACAAAGGGCTCTCTCTGGCATAATAGGGTTTCTGATGTATACTAAACACCTACAGGTAAGGTGAATATGGAAACCACAAGAAACAAGCATTGAGACGCCCTATGAGTTCTTTTTTTTTTTTTTTTTTTTTTTGAAAAGAAACTATGCAGGGATTTCCCTCTCATAGCTGTGTTTTTTTGGAATATATTGATATCAAATCTTTATACACTACCTGGCCATTTGGCTTGAGAATGCACCTCTGCCCTCCTTATTTATTTATTTATTTATTTGACTCTCCATCGCACTCTTGTTTGGTCAAGAATTTGCGTTTGGTGGTTTGGGAGGGATTGAATCGGTTTTCCATCCAATAGGCAAGTTTTTACGATCCAGCCGACACCTTGAACTTAGAGATGGGATCTTTTGCTGATACTATAGATTTGGTGTCAGTTTGAGATCTTATCTATTTATTATTTACCTTTTACGGGAGTTACCATTTAAATCCCTTGATTTAAATGATCAAATGGCGGAAGAGTAATGGGCAATTTTGCCTAAACTCCTTTCCTTCTTTTCATAAGAAGGAAGCGCCCTATTGTTATTATTATGTTATTATTATGATGGGAAAACCTCTTGGCAAGTTTATAAGATGCAATTTTCAATAGTGGCAGAAGCAAATGGTTGGGATTAACAAGCTAAGGCCTGTCATCTCGGTGCTTCTCTAAGAGCAGATATCCTGCAGACTCTTCCCGAAAACCTGAGATTAGATTTCGAAGCTGTGTCCGGGGCATTAAAGCTGCACATTGGCGAGAAATGTTTAAAAGACTACAGCAGGCTTCATTTAAAATCTTGTCAACAGAAACCCATGGAAACGCTTCAGAATCTTACCACGAATGTTGCAGCAGGCTTCATTTAAAAGCTCATCAACAGAAACCTATGGAAACGCTTCAGGACATCACCACAGATGTTGAAAGGCTGTCTCACCTCACCTTTTAGGAATGCCCAATAGAAATAAGAGAAATCCTGTTCCTGCAGTACTTTATCGACCGCATCCGGGATCCTGAAATACAGAAAGCTCTGGGAATGGTGAATGTTAAGGATATAAAAAGCATTCCAGTGTTACGCCATGAAATTTGAGGCAGCCCAGCAAGTAACTCGTAGAGATCGCTACCCAGTCAAAGCTGTACAAGTCCACGAGCCAGTGGATCAATTGATGATGTTTAGATGATTTATCCAGACAAGTCAATGCTTTGATACAGAATAAAAGTGAGAAGAAACTGTCTCTAAAGTGTTGGAAATGTGGTGTTTAAGGCTACATACGAAAGAACTGCAGAACATCCCTGGGCACGAAAAATAATACAGACTATTTGACCAAACAACTCAATACCTTGAGACGGAATATCTGTGACAAGAAACCAAAGACCTGGAATTGCGGAGCTGAAGGCCATGTACAAAGGAACTGCAGAACACTCCAGGGTACAGAAAATAAGACCATTTCCCAGCAACAACGCAGGAATCAAATTAATGATCATATCACAGAGCAGAGTTTGAAGGATAGTGAAAACCCCCATTTTAAAGCACTCACGATTTCTGCAGTGAAAGGCAGTAATAATGGACTATCCATCAATGGGCATATCAATGGAGTTCCTTGCAATATTATCATTAACACAGGAGCTAATGTTACCATCATTTTGAAGGATTTAGCTCAAAAATTTAAAGATAAACTCATTTGGACGCCATCCTGTGTTACCTAGACTGCGTCTGGTGATAAAATCTCCATAGCTGGGAAGTTAAATGTGAACATCACCTTTGGAGGTACTGCTTACCATCACACAGTATATATGGCATATATTACAGATCCATGCATACTCGAAATGAATGTTTTAAGAAATACAATTTTTCCTTAGACTTCAAAGACAACAACTGCTTTCAGCATCTGAGGACATGACTATCCATCCTCAGAAGGGATCTCACCTGGAAACGCGGATGTCTCATGTGAAAGACGGTGCTCAGAAAGCTGCTGAAATCATACCAGGGTCAAAGAGAAACACCAGTCTACCGGCTATTCTCCATCCCATATGCTTTTCAGTTGTGACGTTTGTGATCTTTTGTTTCATTGACCTCTGGGTGTCTTCATTGCCTTAGGAATACATCCAAGATCTCCAGGCCTGGTTTGAAGTGATGCACAATTTTGCACAAGAGCGAGTCAACTTGGCAACGAGGAATATGAAGACCCGATATGACACAAGAGCTACTGGACATCAATTCCACAAAGGAGACAAGGTGTGACTGTGGAATCTGACTCGACAGAAATGACTCTGTCTGAAATTACAGTCAGCTTGGAATGGCCCATACACAGTCCTAAATAGGCTGAATGATGTCGTGGTTTGGATTCGTAAGTCATCAAACTCTAAACCTAAAGTCGTTCATTACAACAGGTTAACTCATTACTATGGCCACAGTATGTGGTGTAAATAATAGTAAATAGTGCAAGACTATGGTCCTTTTTGTTTCTAAATGCATATTTGATTTGACTTGTATTTAGTATTTGATTTGTATTTAGCATTTGATAGTATTTGAATTGTTTTAAGTTACTATTGTAATTATTAAGTTGTTTGTTATTGTAATGTAATGTTTATTATTGCATTGATGCCTTAGTTGTAAGTTTGGCTTCCTGTCCAGGGATTGTACTGCACTGGTCGTAAAGTCCTTGAGAAGGGGACAGTGTTACGGTTTTTGTATTGAATTAGCTATTTTTAAATAGAATTAATTAAAATTATTTTATATTACCATGCAATGCAGCACAAGACTTATTTGAAGGAAAAGCTATGCCGAAAATATTAAAAATACAGAAGCACACGCATTTAATAAATAGATATCTTGTAACTGTATGATTTTGCTTTTCGGGAAATATCGAGAAAATACCAGAATGTGCTCGTGTATTTAAAAATGTTATAAAAAGCGGGACTGAAAAAACATCTCTGTTCAGCTGTTTAAAAAACTGTTGTTGTTTACTGTAGCGAATTCACGGTGAAATTGGATTAGCTTTCTCTATTTTGAATTAAGTTCTGTTGAACGTTTTTAGTAGTTTAAAGATAACTACTGTGAGATATTACAATATCACATGAATATCTTGATGAAGTTAAAGCATTTTGTTTTATTTGCTGTGATAGTAACAAATTTTTTATTCACTTTTCACCAGACCATTCAATTTATTACGAACCCGTATGCATGTAACAATATGTACTGCATTACTTTATATTAAACGAATTGCAAGGCTATATTTTTCTAAAAAAATCTCTTTACCCAATTTGAAGTGTGTTGTTTATTTTATCACAAAAACTTTTGGATCATATTTTAATATAGTTTTTCAATAGGAACTGTTATGGATTTCAAATAAAGTACCACTTCTCACTGTTCAGTTTTATTCATAATCTGATCAACTCTTAATATGAATGCAGAGAGCTTAAATATGGAAAACAAAAATTTTTAGAAGTTCGATATAAGAGTTATTGTGCATAAAAAAGATCACCATACACATGTGCATCATTTCTAAAAAAGTCAAAATATGTGGCGACCCTAATTCATGCTTATTCACTGGCAAGTCACTATCAAATTTTTGGACTGAAAACATTATCTCCCTAACCTATGTGTATAGATTGGTGAAAGGTTAAAAATGTTCAGCTTCATAATATAAATGTATGTTTCATACAAATTAAATACTATTTATATTATTTACACAGAAACTATGATTTGTGTAATTCCTGTCATTTTTATTTTGAACTTATATAACTTTCAAGATAACAATGCATAACTCTGTTTAAAAGATTTTTTTTTTGGGGGGGGAGAGGGGTTCAAAAAATTGTAAACAATAAAAGTCATTAGCCAATACAAATACCTAATTAATACCAACATAATATATTTAAAAATTTATTTATTTATTTAAGCAAAAAACGTTTACATGTAACATATGAATTCCTACCAATTCATTTTTAAGATAGAAATATAATTTTAATATGCAATGCCACAGTTGTGCACAATGCTAAATTTGTGCAATTCTTTTTTTTTTTCTTAAAGGGATAACAGATCACCATGTATATATATGGAAAGAACAACAAAATGTTTTTTTAATGTATCATATGGTCCCTATTTAATAAATAAAATTTGTATTTCAAACTGATAAAGTTTATTTTCTTTTGATAGGTTGATGTTAGCCAACTTATGATATTTACTGTTAGTTTGGTGATTTTTAACCACTTAACAGATTTGCCGAAGTACAGTTTGGATGTCACAAAAGGCTTAACTTATATAAGTACAGTTTGGGTGTCACAAAAGGCTTTCTTGTTTTGGCCATATATCACTCAGGCAGCATATTTTCCTACACCAATCCACTGATTTGCCTGGGGTTTTTACTTTGTGGTGTTTCTACTAAATGTCTTTAGTAGCGCAGGAGAGGCTGGATTGTAAATCTAGTTGAAGGACAGGTTTTACTGCTTTTCATTTAGGCTTTGTGTGTAACTCGAAAAGGAATGGAAAATATCTGACAAGAAACCAGATATTTTTGTCTCGGCCCAATTAGACAAAGAAATCGGTCCTGGCAGGAAAAAACATGCCAGCCCTAAGGCCTCATATGAATTGTCATTATACATTTAAGTTATCATTGTCATATCATCATCATAAAAAAAATTATAAAATAAAAATATACCTTTGCAGAAAAGTAACAGTTTATTCATATGTAACTAAAATAAATAAAATAAAAACAATAAATAACAGTGACTAAATAATTAATGCAAACAAAACAGCAGTTAATTCAGAATTGGCCATTTAAATATTTTTTAATTCCAGGCACCAGGGAAAATATTTCCTCTATTACATCTTCAATTTTTGCTGTATCCAAAATATCTTTCTCTATGTTCATCAACAGCAATGTTTTGAAATTAGCTTGCTTCACATTACTCCTTAATCTACTTTTTACAATTTTTAATTTTGAATGTTGTTGAGTTGTCCCCATGAAAAGTTGAAGTTCTTTCGCATTCAGTTTGCATTATAGATAGGGTGAGTACAAACTTATAAGCAAAAAATGACATTTGAGTATGAGTTACTTTATTAATTATATTTCAAGAGTAATTTATATACACACAAGACGCAATTTTTTCAAAAATTGCATTTCAGCTTTGGATGAATACTCATTAATAGATAGAGCACTGTCTCCTTCTGACTCGGTATCAGATTTAAAATAATGATTTTTTAATCACTATTGATCAAGAAACTCGAAAATCTTAATCAGCCCAAAATCGCTCCGGCCCTATCTGTCACTGGTTCCGGTTGTGATATTGAATTCTGCTTATCTCCGTGTTTTAAAATACATCATATCAAAACTGAGTTCTGAAAAGAAATAAAAATATAAGTATTTCAAACAATACATGCGTTTTTCAAACATTCATCTCTTTGCTAGTGTTCTTTGCAGTACCACAGCTTCGTCAGAAAAAAGAAAACTTTAAGTAAAAATGCCTTGTTTTTGCAGTAATTAAAATGATGTTAAATTAATAAATGTTTTCTTGAAACAGTTCTGATTGCTATTTGAATTCATGCAATTGATTTGAACATAAAATTGTTTATAAAAAATATGCTTATTTTTGGTCCCAATATGGCAGAACAATGAAACTGATAAATGGTTAAAATAAATCACCAAAACTGTCAACTTGTATCTCATAAGTAACTTTTCTCTAGTCTACTTCCAACTAAAACATAACACAAATAACTATTTTAATTTCTATCAATTCAATTTGATGTTAATTCTGAAAAAAAAAAAAAAAAAAAAAAAAAAAAAAAAAAAAATCACTTATTGATTGTATTAAGGTTTTAAAAAAATTATGACTTTAACATAGAAAGAATTTTAAAACAAGTGTTATACTTACAAGCCTTGGTCTTTTCGGATGTGTTTTTTCATATTCTAAAATATATCAAAATACATATAAAATTAATAACAAGTACTTAAAAATATAATTTAAAGTAAAATTACAGGAATAATTTATTGTAGAAAAATTTTTAAATCAAAAGAGATTTAAAATTATTTTTTTTAAATGTTATTTTATCAAAAATAAATTTTGGTAGTTCCTGAATATCCGCACCCCTCCCCATGAAAAGTTGAAGACTGTGACTTGGTGAAAAATATTTGTTTGATTGCACTTACAACTCAGAGGTAATGTTCTGTTCATATATAATAATAAATAAAAGTAGTTTACAAGAACCAAGATATTTTAAGAGAGGAAAAATTCTAAATGGTAAGATGGTTAAATATAAAGCATGTAAATCAACATATTTTCAAAAACACGCATGGTATGCACCATGAGTACCACATACATACTGTCTATTGTTGCATGTATGATGGAAGATACACCCAAAACATGGCACTTCAATCATATGTTGAAAAACGAAATATGAATAGAAGATATATAAATACTTCTGATAACTTTTTGATGTTCATCAACGAGCTCAGGGCCCAGCAGCGGCCGAGTGGTAAAGTCACTGAACACTGGTAGTTCGGTCTGAGGTTCGAATCCCGCGAACAGGCTGGCTGCATGGGTGTTTATGCAGTTTTCCCCCATGTGTAACGTGTATATGAGCCAGTTTCCCTTAGAAAGTCTTCCACGAAGGCATCCCTCCCCTTAGGTAGACAGTGTGTCAGCCCTAGTGTGCTTTGCCATAATTAAATACACCAAACACCAATGAGTTAAGCTTGCATTCCAGTTACGCACCACAGTGGGCGCAAACGAACACAGCTTACATTACAAATTTATCACTAAAAGTTATTGTGTGTATTGGGGAAGAAAGAATTACTAAATTTTGTAATTGACAAAGGGTTAAAAAAAATTTACTTTCTTGAATTTTAAAATATATACATACTTATATAAAAATTATTTTAGATCCAAAGTTTGATAAATGGAATTTTATACTTTAAATATTTTTTACATATAAATTTTGTATGGAACATTATTTTTTGATGGCAGGTTTCCCAATACAGTATTCTGCGCAAAGTCTAAATATTAAAAAAATTAAAATTAAAATAAGCAGAAAGAGACAGGAAGATGTAAAAATTTTATTTTTTAAGGAAAACATACAATTTTTAAGAACAACTGTAGAGAAGACTTAAATAAATAAAATACACTTCAATTTAAATTCATCGTAACTAAAAATTATCAATTATTTTACAACACACATTTTTTCTCAGTAATCACATATGCATCATACCTTCTTTTTCTTTCATCAGCAACAAGCGATTTAATCGCCCATAATGCTTCTCTTCATTTCTTGCCATTATGTTTAAAAAAAAAAAAAAAAAAAAAAATCAGTCTGAAAAATAGAAATAATTTTGTTTTAATAGTAGTTGAACAGAAAAACTGCAAAGCATATTTACACTATTAAACAAGTCATCTATTCATACCTTAATGACATGCAAAAGCATAGCTAGGGTTTTCAGCACACGGGGAGAACTGAGATTCTGCATCCCTTTCTGTGTCCCAAGAATGTAAAACATTTCATTCAAAAATTTCACAACATCAATTTGGCACCCCCTGGATGCTGCGCTGGGAGACAGCTGTCCCTCCTTGCCCCACCCTAGCTACGCCACTGATGACATGAAGGCTACAAGTGTAATTCATTACATATTTGCAGTCATGAAATTAGCAAAGCAACAACATTCTATTTGATGAAGGTTTAGTCAAGAATTCTATCGAATAAATCTATGCCAAATGTCATTAAAATTACAACACCAAGAATCAAAATTTGTGACATTTAGACGACGGAATGGCATATGTATGTGCACCTATAAGCCTCAAACACAGCACATATGTATATGTACCTATAAGCCTCAAAGGAAGGATTATTGGCCAATTTATCCTTTTAAGAAAGGAAAACAGATAATTCTATCACCAATCAGAATTTTGTCTGACCTTCATTCTTGTGCATAAGTTGTATCTTCCTGAATAGTCATACCAATCACTTTCTAACTTAAAAAAAAAAAAAAAAAAAAAAAAAAAAAAAAAAAAAAAATTATAGCATATGAAGACTGAAGATTATTCTCTCCAAGAAACAGGTATGTATGTAGAAGATTATCTTTCCAAGAAACTGGTATTTATGTTGGATCAAATATATATACAATGAATTGTTGGAATGAGGAACCTCTACTTCAATGACCATCTTGATACTTTATCAAAATATTAACAACCTGTGAGCATGCCTACTTTGCACTGTACAGCTACTTCACAAATCTTAAAATCTCTGCATGCATAATTCAATATCAACTCCAAAATCAAAAAGCTTTTACTGCTTTTTATCTTGAAATATGAAAAATTGCAAGATCTGAGAAATTTTCATGCTGTATGGTCATATAATTTCAAAAGAATTCCAAATTGCATAATCCAAGTAATTGAACTATTTAAAATATTATTCTGAAGTAAAATGTACTTTTATATTAAGAAATGTTATCTTATAAGGTTATTTTCTTCCTCCTTTCTGCATGCCTTCGTGGTGTAACTGGAAGCACACTCAATGTGTATTCAGGTGGTCTGGAGTTTGAATCCAGCCAAAGGCATTGCATTTTTTTCACATCTCCTGCATCAATAAACCTAATGACTCTACAATCTAAATACTTTAAAATATAATAAAAATAAAATTAATATACATACTATTACATGGCGTATGAGTGTCACAGATTTATGTCAAACAAAATTAAATACAAATATCAACTAACTAAACATTGGTTGAAGCTTCAAAAAATTTTTTGCAAATGTCTATAGTAGAGAATAAACTTCACTTATTGCTGGGAAATATTTTCCTCAGCAAAGGCTACCTAAATTAAAAACCAGGACATTCTGTGATCTAAAAGACCAGGAAATATAATGAAAAATTGGGACAGTTATCAGCTATATCATTGCTTTTGGCTACCTTTCACTCTTGTAGGATCTGCAAATAAAAATGATGTAGAGAGCCAGATTTAGATTTGATAAGGCCCTAAGCTATTTTAAATATGGGACCCTTTATAAGTCTTTTATAATATATTTTAATACTATTTATATTTTAATTTGGGGGGGCCAAGAAAGAGGGGGTCCTAAGCTATAGCTTGTATAGCTTATCTGTAAATCCAGCCCTGTAGAGAACATCAAAGATGGAAGGACAAAAATGCCATAACATCCTCCTCTCGGATGAGTCCTATAAGACTGCAGCACCATGATAATAACATCAATACTTTACAACACTCTGTTAACAGATTGGAAAATTCTTGCATTGTGCCTCTAACCAGCTAAGCATTTGCCTCAGAAATCCTAAGTTTTAAAAAATTACCATGACAAAGAGGTATTTTCTTGATTATAATAACAAAATGCTCTGTTATTTCCAGGTTCAGCACTAAATGTTTTACTGCTCAGTACAATCTCAGTGACTTTTTATATTCTAAAAATTTTGTTACCTGATACCCACACAGTGATTCTGGACCAGCTCTGGGTATTTTATATCTGGATTATCTTTACTGCCTAAACTTTGATGTATTTCATGATGCACATATATATAATGAGTGGTTCAAAATTACTGAGCACATTTTCATGTTTGGGGAAAAACAAATAAATAAATAAAATAAAAATAAAAATGAGGTATGTACATGTTTATTGTTTTCTTGGAAAGATAATTGAAAAAAATTTTACACAGCAAAATTTTAAACATTAAATAACTTCTACATAAGGTAGTAAGCAAATCATGCAACAACATTTTGCAAGAAAAATTAACTAAGTCCATCAATCTGCAAATGGTGTTTGGTGTATTTAATTACGACAAAGCACACTAGCATTATCTGCCTAAGAGGAGGGATGCCTTTGTGGAGGACTTTCTAAGGGAAACTAGCTCGTATACACGTTACACACGGTGAAAACCACGAAAACGCCCATGCAGCCAGTCCGTTCACGGGATTCAAACCTTGGACCGAACTACCAGTGTTCAGCAACTTTTACCGCTCAGCCGCTGGTGGGCCTATCAATCTGCAAATGGTTATGATACAAGAAAAAGCAATGTGCAATTTATGGTTCCATGAAAGCAGATCTATTGTAATAGTTCTATAGCAACCAATTTTTGTCACCTGACCTATGTATTTCTTAAGTTTTATTTGACTGGATCTTCTTAGTTTGCTGGAGGCATGTGGCACTATTTTCCAAATTTTAACTACAGTTAGTTGACCATAAGTTTTTGTTAGCTGATCTAGCTTGTTCTTAATTGATCATTATCCCATTACCTTCACAAAGAAGTATGTCTGGTGAGATAAATGCCCATTTTCTCTTTTCCATGGCTGAGAGCATAAGGATAAGAAAGCTATTATTGACTAGAATATGAATGAAGGTTTAATTAGCTCTCAGTATGAATGTCCAGTTTGTATGATAGGTATGCATCTGGTCAGTGGCATATCTACACAGAATGGTGGCCATTGCAAGATTTTAAAACTTCAGCCCTTTAAAATAATGTTAATCTCTTTTTGATATAATTTCAGGGACATTTTGGCACTCACGGTACATGCCCTGCTGCCATAGATACACCACTGGATTTCTTTTAGCATAAGGATCGACCAGACAACTAGGAATAGGTTTATCCTGAGAAAGGTGCAAATATTTATCACTGCAAGAAAGGTGCAAATATTTATTACTCCTATAACAAAGGATAGATGGCTCAAAGAAGGCAAGCTGAGTACAATAGATATTTTAATATTTTTCTATTTATGGGAGTATGAAGCTGGAATGAATCTGCTTATGAATGAGATGAATGTCTGTTCAAATAAAACTGTAGTTGATTACAGGAATTTTTGTACAGAAGTGCATACAGATGTACGAGTCAAAAAGAGTGAAATGATTGGTGGTTCTCGTATAGCTGTGAAGAATGATGAGCAATTTCAACAAAAGGAAAGTATAATAGAGGCAGAAGAGTGAATAGAAAGTGGATGTTTGGCAATGATACTCAGAGAGAAAGTGGTAGGTGATTTTTTGAAGTTACGGAAGATGATACAAAAGACATTTTGTTGGAGGTGATTTTTTGGACAATCTTGCCTGGAACCAAGGTTATTTCTGACTGTTGGAAAGCATATAGTTGCATCAGTAATCAAAGCTTCAAATATTTGTTGATCATCATTTCCTGATAAATAAAGACCCTGAAACTGGCATCTATACCAACACCACTGAGAGTATGTGAAACCAGATTAAAAGAGAATATCACATGTGGGGGTCTTCAACAGTCTCCAAATGAAATTTTTATTCCTTCTTTGTGGAGTTTATGTGGCATTACTGGTATCAGGATCAGGAGAAAGAGGATTAATTCTGGGACTATATGCATTGTAATAAGAGCTGTAAGTGCCACATTCACTCAATGACTTATAGCCGAGAACACATGAGGTGAGTATTTTTGTTGCTTTTATTACATACATTTTTGGAATTATTTTGGGTGACAGCCATCTAAGGAACATTGCTTCTTGGTGTTACTCTCGAAGTAAAAAAAAATAACCAAAAAATAAAAGGATTGTAATGTCGGTAAAAATTTACTCTATGGTACCCCTTGGAGAATCGTTTCTTTTTTGACGCCAAGATCGGCACCAATTTCAAGATGACCGCTACACAAAACCAAAATAAGAAGTGAAAGACTTACACAAACTCGGTGTCCATGTACACATCGACATATTTAAACTTTAAAAAACATCAGAGAATTGCACAAACTAGGCAATGTGCACTGCCTTAACTTTGTCCATGAAACACATCAATCTATTTTCACTAAAACAAAATCAGGAAGCTAAAACAAAGTTAAAACTATTATGGTAACAAGAAAAAAATTCTCGGTTGATCTTTACATTATGGTAACTTGGCGTTTTTTTGGCGAAAATTTAACGACCAACTCTCCTACAGCAACCCTCTATTTTTTTTTCCCGCCGCCATTTTATCATCACGAAGTAAAGACATGTTTCTTTTCTTTTTATCTACTGAACACTTCTTCCAACAATCTACTAGCCAAATTACACTTATGCTAGAAATTTTATCTAACAAAACTGCTTAATCATGACAAATATTCACTGCAAAATTGGGAAAAAGTGCACAATACCATACTCCTTACGCGTTTTTCAAAATAACGCATACACATAAACCATGTACACGCCGACTTATATTTACTTAAAAAACATCCCAGAATTGCACAAAAATGGCATTGTGCACACTCTTCACTATATCCATGTACACTGCTTTTTTCTCATAATTAGAAAAATTTCACGAAAAATACATGACAATTTTCTCAATCTTTAAACCCGGTAAAAAGAACATATATGAAATTATCTGATCGCGAAAAAGTAATGAACATTTCCACATATAAAATAAATAAAATATCCAAAACTTTACCTCTTAAATCATCTATTACATTATACACGTCACCAACGAATTCATACCGCAACCATTACAAATACTTATTGTCAGATATTTAAATTATTTCCATGCATGTTACTTCAACTAAAACGTATACCAAATTCCTACAAACATAAAACTCACAAAATAAATATTTAATAAAAATAAATTAAATTCAAAAAACACTACTTAAAATATAAATGAGCACATACATTAAATTAATATATACATAAATACCCATTTTTCAAATTCACTTTAGTTACGGCCATGGGATCCAAAAATTCACGAACACTGTTTCACACAACACAGAATAAAGCCAAATACAAAATTTCCAGATTTTTTCCCGATTTCCCCCCTTTTCCGATTAAAGAACCGTAATTCGTCCATTAATATCACATGACATATCCCATGATCTCTCATTTCCCTCACACAAAATAATGCGTAATCGGAACTGAGTACTGCTCACATTATTACCAAAGTGCCAGGTAGTAACCTTTATCGCCTCCAAAATGTCGCCAAACTACCAGTTACCATATTGTAAAGATCAACCAAATTCTCCGCTGTCTTAACACAGAGACAAACAAATAACCAAAAATATACAAACAGAGAGGGATAAATAACCCAAAGTACATATTTCCTAATGTAAAAACATTAAACAACATATATTTTAACAAAAATTAATCCACAGAGACAAATAAATAAAATGAAACATAAATTTTTTAACGTATCTTTTTTCACGTATATACGTTTAGGCTTCCCCCCCATCTCCTCCATTCTCCAGGTAAGCAATTCAATTAAATTTTTTGTCGTTTCGGCTTATTCATATCTATCGGAAATTAAACCAGCTTTCATGCAAAAATCAAACGTCTTTCCTCCATCATCCAACCCACCAACATTCATCCTTAGTCACCTACTGAAATGATGGTACCCACAGCAAAATAATAGCAAGTTCAAAATAAAAGACCATACCACGCACGTGCACCCAAACACAGAACGGTAAGAACCAAAACCACGGGGCCATACGAAAGGGTTACAATTACAAAAAATAGCCAAAATCTAAATTTATCACATGTTTAGCAATATTCACAGAAATAACCCCTTTTGGTACTACTCTGGTATATGCCCTCCAGATGTATGGTGTCGGTTTTTAGCGCAATGTTGTTTGTATGGCAACTTTTTTGACACTGAAACTTGATTTTGCTAGAGTGGTTTTATTTGCTAGTTTGTTGGGTGCTTTGAAAAGGCTTATGTTGCAATGAAAGATATGGTGGGAAAATTTCAGTCGTGTTTTTTGTATTGTGTGCAAGGTAAATTTAATATTAAAAAATACGGGCAAAATTTTTTCATGAATGTATGCTGGACTTTGTATGCTCTGTGTCTCAGAAGATGGGGGAGAACTAACTACATTTGTACCACTGCCTGTGAACTAAATCACATTCGGGGAACTAGCACAAAGTACCAGTTAAAGTCACCCAAAAGGATAGTCGTAAACACTTCTGCTGGACCCAGGGTCCCACATCCCTGAGACATCAACAATTTTAACTAGGCTCCCTCTTTACAAAGAACCCACCACTGAACCAGCCAGCCAAGACCACCGTCCCAGTTGTTGGTGATCATGATGGGGTGGGCATGAGAACTTGGAGCAATAACTAGCCGTTCATTATGGCTACCTACCAGCAGTATGCAGGATACCCCTCTCCTTAGAATTAACATGGAATACCAAGGACAGCAGTGACCATATGCTCAATGGCCCAGGTGCTATTTGGCTACCAATACCCTGGTGGAGGGGACTGATACCTCCCAGCCCATGAAGAGTGAATATAAGATCCACCCCCATGGACCATCAGGAACTGCCAAGTTTGTCATATTGTACCCCCGTTGCCGAGACTGCCTAGGTACAGATCCTAGCCAGTACTTCGCAGAGTACTCTATGTCGACCTCCGGGGGGGGGGGGGGGGGGGGAGAGGTGGAAGGATAAAGTGGTGGAAATTGATTAATTTTACTGATGTTTGAAATTGACATTTCTACAGTTTGAAGAAGCATTAACAATGGTAAGCGCATTTTATTTTATTGTTGTTCTTATTTTGTAGAATGTTATGTTCATTGTTTTTTTTTTGCAATGGATTTCTGTCGTTATTGTTAGTCCAAGGGGGTTTGTCCCTGAAGGACTATTGTTTTTGTTTTGCGATTTTGCATTGAATCACTATAAATGTCCGTTTCACTTTTCAAACTGTTGCCACCAAATGTTAGAGTCCTGCATTATATTTGAAGAAATTAAATAATGAAAAATCTGCATAAATGTATGTATATATCTCGCATTGTGATAAACCAATGGTACATAGAGCCATTGAATTTTGAATGACATAAGCCTACTGCGAATATAGGCACAGTTAAAACAGAACACTGTGTATATGGTATTGTTTAAAATTTCTCGTTGTTATGTTAGTTAATTTTAGCAACGTGTGCGTAATTCCTATGCTGCATAGATTGTGCAATTTTCTGATTTTTTTTTTTTATGTTAAAACATATCGCTGTATACATGGATTCTTCTCAAATATTTTTGGTTAGAAACTTTACATTTTTGCTTTTGTTTCGGACTTTTTGTGTAAACTGTGTGTTAAAAACATGGATTTTGCATGTGCGAAAACCGCGCTTTTGCAGAAATTTCTTAAAGTTTGAAATGCAGACAAAAAAATTTAGACAGTAATATGGCGCTGTGGAGTTTCTCACTAAAAATGCTTGGCGAGAAATTTGTCACCAACCTAGGGTGTATACAAGAGTAATTCCACCCCTTTGTAAAGACAAAAAAAAAGAAAAAAATTACCCAAGGCTAGTTTCGCCAACATTATCAACATCAGGGTTCCCAAAAAACCTATTTCACGAACAATCAATACCACTTGGCGATTTTTTGAGACAAAAACCAAGGGGTACTGTACAGTAAAGATTAGCTGTAATGTCTTACAACAATAATATGTGTGTATGTCTATATATTTGGCAAACTAAAGTAATCATTATTTATTTATTTATTTATTTTTTGTTAAAACTCCCCTAATTTTAATAAGGTAGGTCCATAATACATATGTGTCTTAATTTTACAGTTTTTACATGCTGTCTTATCAGATTTAAACTGATGATCTATAATTTAGAAATTTCCAAAATCCAGACAATTCCTGATCTCACACTTTGTACTTTACATAGTATGGCTGGTTTGGAATATCTGTCCATCAGTTTGGCTATGAAATGGGTTGGTCTTGTATTAAGTATCCAAAAAAAGTTCATGCCATAGTTTTCAGTGAGAAATAACAACCGAGTCATCTTGACAGGGTTGCTAACATCAGATGTTTGAATTAGACTTTTCAAATCTACATATTCAAAATTTTTCATATGGATATATACGATGTTTTAGCGTAGAATTTTATAAAGAGATATAAAGCTTTATATTTATAAAGAGAATTTGGTACTTCCTTGTTACAGCAGCACCCAAAATTTAATGGCTAATCAACTGAGATGGAACATGTAGCCAGGAATAAAAACACGTGGTGAGATATCTCCATAGATTAGCGTTGACCACTATAATAAGAAAGTACCGAGAATTTTTATTTAAAACTACTTCTACAGTAAACCGAAACTTTAACGTTAGCCTCCAGAAGATATGCTCATTTTTAAGTAAATTATTTTAATTAATTTATACGAGTTTTCATTTTAAATTTCGTTAATTATCTCTTTTCAGCCTTCAGAATAAGATAAACTTTTCTAGTGACAACCATACGCAGTTGAGCAGCAAACGTTGAACACTTATAATGAATACACAAGGTAAACTTTTTCCTCATAAATTTTTAATTCTTACAAGCCTAACTTGAGGTTCTCTCTTTGTTTTTTTTTTTTAGTTTTCTTCAGTATTTTGAAGTTATTTTATTCATCGTTTTACATTTCTAGCGTTTATATAAACATACATCAGAGTTTTCTTATTCAAAGAAGAAAAATTAAACTTAATTAATTGTACATTACTCACACTTTTAAAGCTAATACGAAATTAATGCTTTTACTTATCAATCCTAATGGACTATTTGCCGATTAGATACTGATTTTACACTTAACTTTGACGAACTCAAAGGTATGTAATTTTCTCACACCGTAATGTTTACGCTTCCAGACAGCACTATGTACAGTACATCACCAAGGAGGCCAACATCTTTTCACTTCAAAATATGATTCAGGCAGTTCCGGCTGGAGCAAAAAACTTAATATTAGTTAAATTTATAGTTATGTAATTTCTCTGTTGAGTTTTTATTCAATAAATTCGTTTAATTAAATTATTTTTGCTGTCGTTAATTATATCGAAGTATTTTTATGTGATTTTTCTCTCAAGTAATTTCCAGTAAGAGGCTCAGTCGTAGCGCCAATAATGAAACAGCTTGAGAGAGAAAAAGAGCTAGTGTAATCGAATTAACCGTAATCGAATATTCTCTATTTTCATCCGAATTCTCATGTGAGTTGCACAGAAATCGTTCACGATGGTAAGAGACAATCTAATATAATCTTTAATCTCATTAATTGTTATTCATTTAATATGGACATATTTGACTTATATATTATATCAAGAATTATTTTGTGTGGTTATTCATAATTTTAATATTTTTGGTGCTGTGTAAAGAATAGAATATTAAGTAACCCTAAATGTATTATATTGACTGCAATATTTTTTTATTGCTTTAATAACTTCATATAAAGACCAAATTATTATGCTGTATGCATTTCAGCAAGATGAAAAATAATTGACATAAATTGTAATTCTATAGCTGCTTGTATACACAGTTTTATATTTCTAGCAAATAAATCGGTTTATAAATCATTCTGCTGATTAATTTATGATAACATATAGTGTATGTGCATATTCTCAAGCTCTAAATATGATTTTATTTTCTGCCATTTAGACGAAAGGTACATCAAGTTTTGGTAAAAGGAGAAATAAGACTCACACACTTTGCCGTCGTTGCGGACGTAGCAGTTACCATATTCAAAAATCTTTATGTGCACAATGTGGATATCCTCATAAAAGATTGCGTCATTGTGAGTATTTAAACTTACGTTAATTTCCTCTTTAAGGCACTAGTACTGATACATCTTACATGTTTACAAAGCTGTAAATTAAAGTATGCAATACGCATCTATACCTGGTGCATAATTTTAATATTTTAGCTGTTTTAAGTTCACTGGACAGCAATAAAATTCCGGTCATGGAATACTTAGGTAAATACTGTGGCATGTTCTATGTCATAATTAATTAGGAATTGCAGTTGATTTTTTATTTGCCAGTAATTGTATTTGTTCAGCTGTATGAGAGGTGTTGGTAGAATCTTATTTAAAAAAAAAATGGATTGAAAAGTTTACAATTAAGTGCCCCTTGTTTTTTAGCAATTCTTTTTTGAAGTTAAGATCAGGGCCAGGAAGGCACAATTTCAAGATGGCTGTAATACAAAATTAAAATAAAAAGTCAAAGAATTGCACAAACTTGAGATTGTGTACTTCCTTGACTTTGTTCATGTATGCATCGATCTATTTTCACTTTAAAAAAAATCAGGAAGATAAAACAAAGCTAAAACTATCATGGTAATCAGAAATGGAGTTTCATCACCAAAACAACAACAAAAAAAAAAGTCACTAATTGAATCAATTCTGCACTAGAGCCAAAATTTTGTATATGTGCTTATTGAATTGGCATTAGTAAAAGATGGAAGCACTTCCACAAAGAACTCCGTAAATGTAAACGCTGCCAATAATTACGAGTTCAAACTTAGTAACAGAATGGATTTGCATGTTTGGAGGCAGCAATCATTCCTCTTGGAATATTTCTGGTTCCTTGTATTGCTGTTTATAATTTTGCATATTGTAGCATCACATTAATAAATTACCTTTGTACATGCAATTTATTCTTTAGTTATTCAGTATAATTTTGATGCTATCTTTTCTGAGTTTTTTAACAATTAATAGATTAGAATTATTATCAGCTAAGGAAGTTGTCTAGCACATGGCAAAGAGAATGGGTGTTATGCAGAATGGCAGACATGTTCGTTCTTAGGAATGGCATGGATATTACATGCATCGGACTGCTAATCACTCCACAAATTTTGTTAATCCCACAGTTGGTGCACATATTCCGTCCCGAGAATCGAAAGAGCGGTCTCTGAAAGCAAAATTACAGAAAAAGTTGGTCTTCAAGGAAAGTCTGGCTGATCATGAACTCAAATACCTGTAAATGTGCGAAATTAAACAATGTCAGAATCCATTTGCAGAAATTTTAAATGCAATTAAAGGTTATAGGGTAATACATATCTGGCAATTTGCTTAATGGCATAGATTTATTAGGGTCTTAAAAGTCTAGAAAAAGAAATTAAGTATTATAAGATTTAAGTATTCAAGCTTTTATAATATTAGTATTAATTTGGAATATATTTCAAAAATAATACATTTTGTAATGCTAATCTTAACTTCCATCATGCTTTTCTACCAAACTGAATTGTATTAAATAGCATCAGGGCTTGTAGTGTTTCTTACAAGTGCTTATAAGTCCTTATATTTGAAAATAAAATATTAAGGCCCTTATAGGTGCTTACTTTTTCTTTAAAGCCCTTATTTTTTGGCTTTTAGTGTCTTCCCAGAAATAGCTTTTACCCCTTCTTCTGTATTAACATAACCTTTGATGCATGTGCGAGAATACAGACGGTTGAACGTCATTCTATTCGTCAATGATTTGCGATGGCGGTAAGAAGCTCCAGTACATGGTACATTCTGTATTCTTTTACTGCCATCCAAATACCGCACACGTTTGAATTTCTATCAAGATTTTAATAATTTGCATTCTTGTTCTGCGTGATCAGTTCATATTTGCGTTTATTATGATCGTCTTATATTATGAGCATATGTATGAACATTTATAATAATATAGTTGCAGTAGCTGCTGAAGTATAGATAAACTTCCAAAATTGGGTATGTTTTAACACGGATAAGCTCTGTAAGGAATAAAATTCACAATGTCCTAAATAAAAAAAAGTACTCGAATAGTCAAAAAAAAAATTTTTTTTTTTGCCAATACACTATACAGTACGCTTCGCTGCAAAACAAGCAACGGACTTTTTTTTTTTTTTTTTTGTCACTTTCCAATTTGGATTGAATAGGACTAAAAGTTCTGTGGTCTACCAACCCAAGCAAAGAATTATTCTGTTCTGGAAATTTAACATGGTCTGTTCAAAATTAGAATCAAAAACACCCCAGATTGGTAAGTCTCTTTCTTTTCCGTTATTCTCCGAATGCCGGCAAGTGTTGATTCCGATTGTGTAATATCACGTATGAAAAGATTACGGCGCACATATTGCGCAGTAACGTTTTCGATATTTTGCAGAGATAATTAATTTTGATGTTCAGTCGGAGATTTGCTTTTGAAAACTTAAAAGAGTTTTACTACTGCTTGCTAAGTAAAATATTTTTCAGTTCCATTGGTCTTTTATAATATGATGCACATATCGAAATGTCAAAATTATTTAGCAAAAAAATTTAAAGAATGGCTACAATCTACCTCTTTTTCCAGTTATGCTCGACTATCCGGAATATTTGGCAATTTCCGAGTATGCAGGTTACTCAAGCTTTTACTTTTAAAGGATGACTGCATGAAACAATTTCCTGTCTTCTGATTTCAGAAATATTCCTCTTTTTTACTTAAATTACTTTGCTTCCAATGTCTGTTAAGGGAACTGTTATACAATGAAAACGTTCATAGTTTAGATTTAAGTTAAATTATTTAAATATTAATACTATGAGTAGAAAAATAAATTTATTATTAGGTTCCAAGCGAATACAATAAATATGGCTTATTATTATTTATTTTCTCTACTGAAATTTCATCATTAAATCTTTTAATATAGTTTAGTTCTGCATAGTTTTCCCCCTCTCATTGTAAACTAGCTCTGTGAATTGAACTGTTATTTAAAATTTAAAAAAAAAAGTAATTGTTTTCCATAGTTGACGTAATGCTCATTCTCTCTTAATAAATACTGCATTTCTCATATTTTAAATTACATGTCTAATTTTTCTTTTAAGGTTATGCAGTTATGTATAATGTAATTAGACAAATGCTCATTTTTTTTCTTAAAATGGGCTTGAAAAGTGCTTATAGGTGCATTTTTTAAAACTAAAATGTGACTACAAACTCTGTAGCATGTATAATCAGCTAATTTTTAATTGCATATGCTTAATATGATACTTTTCTGCTAAGTTAAATTGGACACTAAATAACACACTAAATTTGACTTGTATGTGCTTAGTAAGTTTAATCACCTAATTTTTAATTAAATTTAACTTACATATGCTTAATATAACACTATGCACTAAATTTAATCTTTAAAACGCTAAATTTCACTTGTATATGTTTTATATATTTTTAAACTTAACTCTATGTCATTAAAATCATTGCCATTGGCGAGCTTGGCCACAAAAGTCACCAATGGTACGAAAATCCAAATTAATTCTTAAAAAGTAGGTAAGAATATGAGCATTTTTAATACTGAAATTGACTTACCAGGTATTAAATCTTTGAATATGTCAAAATTTGTATACTTCTTCATATTTATGTTTCAATCCTCTAAGCATAACAAGCCTTAGTGTTTCAGAGTTCTTCGAAATGTGATTGATGAACAGATAGTATTTTCTTGATTATAATTTCAAAATGACTCTGACTGTGTACCTAGACTTTTCTTCTGGGTCCCATCTGCGACAGAGCGGTAAGTCACTGAACATTGGTAATTCGGTTTGAATCCCGAGGCTTGAATGTATATGGGGGTTCACATTAGTTAAAATTAGAGCTTGGGGTCCATAAGCAAAAAAGGTTGGGTAGTCTAAATTTAATTATGTTGGTTTAGCCATTTGAAACAGTTAAATATGATCGGATTTAGGTTTTAAAACTGAAGACTACTGAAAATTGTTTGATCAAAAAGTAGTCTTAGTTAGCTTTTAAATTTAGAATGCATTACAAAATGCTAAAATTTTTGTTTCTACTTTCCATCTGTTTTGTTTCAGACACATGTCAATTTTTTTTAATTCTTAAATTCAAAATGATTTTTTATTGGTGTTATTCAGTTTGAGACAAATAATGGTTAATAGTAATAGTCAAATTGGAATTAAAATTACCTTGAGATAAGGTCTAAGAGGATTTTTGTTGCAAGGTATAATAAAATGTAGTCTTCCCACCATCATAAAATTTGTCAAAAGGTGGTGCGAAGAAGTAAAATTGTATTTGAAAGGTCTCCCAGTTTTCGCATTTTGTATTCTACAGTTCTTGAGTTGAATAATAATGATCTTGAAAGTCAAAAGTTTCGTGCCAGGTATAAGGCTCAGATTATTATTTGCATTATTTCTTTGTAAGATGGGTCACTCTACAAAATGAGAAATAATCTATATCTTTATATGTAAAGAAGAATGTCTGTTCGCGATTAACATGATCAGTACTATAGTTGTTGTCACTAAACTTACTACAATTCTTTTCTGGGTACTGGAAAAGGTCTCCAAAAAAGAGTTACTTTAATTTTTAATATAGATATTTTGAGTTTTTATGTATTTTTGTATTGTTACCTTTGAGAACTGAATTAAATGAATGATACTGAATCGTTTGGGAAAAACTTTTTTTTGTTTACATAATTTCTTTTAGATTTATTATAGTATATTGGATTTATTATAGAATATGTGGCAACCGTTATTCTTCAGATGATATAAATTTTGTGTATTCTGAGATAAAAATTAGCCATGAGATTGTTACTACTCAAGGGATTGCTTTTAAAGATAATTTCACGTGCCATTTAATTGCTCCAGCCATAGATGTACCTCCGAGTTTTCAGAATTTCACGAATGTATGATTTTTGATGCTATGAACTTTCAATGATATATGGGAGTAAATATTTTCAGATCGCACACTTCGCTACATAACTGCCAATCTACTGTTATAAAAATGAATAAATGTAACAAACACTGTTAAGTGAACGTAGCGGTGGAGTGTCGTTATGGTAAACAAATATAGCGAATTT